CGACCTCTTCCTCCGAAATGGGCCATCACATCAAAGGAGAACGCCTGCTCTCCACCGGCAGATCAATATTAATGGACGTGAAAAGCCAGATTACCGGCGAAACACGCGCGCAGGCATGTTTGTCTGCCATGAAAATGTCTGTCGCTCCGCCCCAAGAACTCCGCCGCGCTTGCGCCATCGTCGCCCCAGCTGGCACCCGCAGCGCCACGCCACGTGGGAACTGGACCAGAGGGGGACGCGCGCCCGCCTGCTCACGCCCCCCTGAGGCGAGAGCAGGCGGGCCTTGCACCGTCGCCAGCGACGCCACGCCCGAGATCTGACACAGGGACATGTTGGAGGCCGAGCTCTGGAAGCAACGCGGGTCAGCCCGGCATCACATTGGACGGAGAACACTTTTGCAGCAAATCTATTGGTTCACGCGCAAAAAAGCGAGAGCGGGCCGACCCAGTTGGAAGAATCACGGAAAATTACGGATGTGCAGAAGTCTCTTGGAAGGAGCTCACGAAAGTATCCCGAGGAAGCGCTGGAGGAGATGAGAGTCACGGTGGAGAGGCCGGGAGAGGAGTCTCCCGGGGAATTCTGAGGAGTGAGGAGCGCCGAGGAGAATAGGCGGCGACAACCTGGCGGCGACGTCTGGTCCGCGGACGGTGGGACGCCGACAACAACGCCCACGATATGAGTCCACAGGCTGTTGTCCCAATCCTTACCGGGCCATGGACGGCTGGCGCTCCCGTGTCCCTTGACCGCTCCCCACCGGGCGAGCGTAGGCCACGGCCACCTGTTCCCTCCCTATGGTTGGAGAAGGGGGGGGGGGGGCACCGGCCATGCGATCCTTCCGGCGGGCAATGTGTCTCGGGCTCGCTCCCATAATTAAGGGTGGGGGGGAATGACGTGTCACGCGGTTCGTCGATATCTTAGTAACTTTTTGGAAAATACAGGTGGCAGTCTGCGTTTTAAATGGCTTAAATGACTTAAATAGTGACAGGGCACTCGCGCCCGGCGTCGGTGAGCATGGTGTCCGAGGCCCATGATGCGCGCTTTGGCGTGACGGCTCGCCCGTTAGCCCACGCCCCGGCTGTCTGGATTTTTGCCGTTGGAGGCGGCCACGTAGAGGCGCAGCGGCTCGTCATTGCCGTCCTCTTTCCCGCGTCGCGACCAGGAGCGACTTACGGGCCACGTCTGTATATTCCTGAAGGAGTCCTTTGACTATGGCGTAAATGAGTTGGGTAGTGGGACGGTTTGTCTTTTCCGATTCTCTTTTTTCCTATGGCTCGGGGCGGCCGGACCCTGGCCGAATCCCGTTCGGCGCACCCATACTGATTTCGTCATTTCGTCAACGTGCGTCGTCTTCCTCTTCTTTATCGATAGTCCGGCCTGAGTTATTAACTAATGTTACATGGCAATCGTACGCGCGTATCTCGTTTTTCCTTCAATATTCCTTGCTCGTTTTGGTTAGGTGGTCAACTGCCTTCTTTAAGCGGATTATTTGCTTTGGCATTGACGCGGTCAGCTGCCGCCGGACCTCCAGACTTTCGTCCGATACGCAACATGCCGCTCCTTTCCCGAGGATCGAGTCGCTCGGGGATCGTGACCAAACGGTGATAGGCGCGGAAAACGGCCGAGCAACACGGCTCGACTACGGCGGTGTTGAGGAACCAAACGACCGCATTCCTGCTTTTACGCGGATGTACATTTGCGGGTAGCGCCACTCAAAGGCACAAGTTTGCTTTTTTCTTGGATTAGGAAACGGTCGACTCGTTTTGTGACCCTCACTTGACCTCAGGCGTGACGGCATGAAGAAGGCGCAGGTCATGGCACGACCAAGGACCAGTGGGGACCTCCCGGGATGGACGGGTTATGCACAGCGGTAGCTGGATCTATCCGTTGGCTCACCACGCCTTAAGAGAGAAAAGAACACAGGCGGCTCTCTCCCGACGTGGTGTTCACCAGGCCTTATGAGCGCTTGATGGCGAGGTGTTCGGGATAGATAGAGATCCCGCTATCGACGCTCATAGGAAGAACGACGGGGAACAGGGTCGTCGGACAGGGTGGTAAGGGTGAATCTCCAGAGCGCGCCGGCCGAGGAGATCGCAAGGCGTGAACGCAGGCCACGCCGGGCGCTCGTCGTCTGCCGAGAGGCTCCACCGTCCCATCGGGCGTGCTGTCTGCCTCCAGGCCTCTGAGGGACGCGCCGTCGGCGGTGCTCTGCAAAGCTCGTTCCGCCAGGCGAGAGGCGATGGCGCAGAAGCGCCGGAGGCGACGCCTCCGTGCTGGACGAGACGCTACCTAAGGCGCGTGCGCGACGGCGGAAAGCTACGACCGGTGGGCGTGGCCGAATGAATGATGGGCCGCCCACCGTGGACGAACGCGGGAAGCGTCGTCCGAACAGGGAGCCGTCACCCTGGAGGTCAGGCAAGGGAACGAGTCGCCGCCCAGCTTCGGACACCTGATGTCAGCCGAGTAGCTGCATCGGTGTCGCGCTGATAAATTCACAATTATATTTAAATAAGGCTTAAAGGTGACTTTGTCAAATGTTTGAAATGTAATGGACAAATCTAAGTTGGCTTAACGAAGACACATGCAGACGAGTTAATTGTAATGCCAAGGCGCTGGATAAAAAAAGGAGCCCCATCCCATCCGTGTGCGAGTCGAGAATAAGTGGGATGACGTGGGCGCCAGCGGATGTGAATGCTTGGGGTGAGCGTGGTGGGGCGCCGAATGCACGGAGTCCGCATGGATTAGTTAAGGCCGAAGGGGACTCCCAGGGTCGCTATCCAGCGGGCCCTTGCCAATGCAGTTCGCCAGCTGCGTGTGATCCCTGCCAATTGGGCATATTTAAACTACATCACATGTTCCCACGCATGTTGCTTACAAGCTTCGCCTATTTGCCGCTCGTTCGTTTCCGGGGCCCGTCAACAGGGTCCGCTGCTGGCCCGTCATCTGTTTTCACACAGCTCAGGCCAGTATATCAGCTTGAGCTCATAATGCGAAAACAGTTTGGAAATTATCTGATTTTTTCTATTGCTTCGTCTTCTTTAATAGGTATGAAGTATTGATAGACTTGTTTACAGAGATTAGAATCAATCACGGAATAACCCGCGCGGATGGGAAATTCTGACATCTTGCACTTAGTTAACTGTTTTCGTGTGTGTTTTCGCCTGCTTGGTGTAACCATGCAAGTTACGGTGTGTGACAATAATCTATATTTGAAAAAGTAGCATCTTACTTTTGTGAGGGTTCACTGTCCAGGTTTCACAATGTTAACTTATGGTATTTTGCATGCTCAGTATTGAAGGTGCTGGGTTGGCTTCCAACGTCAAAGTTGAGGGCTGCAGGGCGTTTGGAATAGTAAGCTGTCATATTTGCCAGGGTTGGCCGTGTGATAACACAACTAAACAAACCTAGTTCTTAAGTTACCAAGGATTGAACCACCAGTCCGTGCATCCAAACATAATAATTTTAGAATTAGGCATCACGAACATCAACTGCGTGCAAAAAAGTTCAATGACTGAATAGCCGTGGCCTTTCCTCCATCACACGAACTGTCCCTCCACCACTCCAATCATCTGCCCGGGGTGTCGCCGTGGCCTCTGTAACTGTTGTATGCGTTTGAAGTGTAAGACGTGTAATTTGCTTCACAAAATTGTTGTTTTTCTTCGACGCTATCGAGTCATGATCAACGAATTACTTTTTGACACATAACCATCACATGTCGATGCAATGCACGTAACATTTGACAACGCATCGCTGAGAGTTCCAAAGACGAAAACCATTTTCGCTGTCCCCGGCCTGAGGTCCGGATGTCCGGCTAGAAATCCAGCTGTTTAGCATGATATGCAACGTTCATCAAAGTGGCTAAGAGGGCACGGATTTTTCCAATGAAATTATAGTGACACGTGGTGTGGTAAGCATTTTGAAACGGTTTATCATAGCTTACATAAGGCGCAGAAGACTGTATTATGTAAGATGCTTCAGTCTATTACCGAAGACATGGCTCACTGATAAAGCCCACACTGTCGACAGCGGTGATAACAGAAAAATACATTAACCGCATCAGCCGACAGCTGATACATTTCACGTGCTTTACTCATGGCGCGGAAATGACGCTTGACTCTAAATATTCGGCCACGGTTTAACACGCCTCGCGCAGACCGAGCCGCTCCCCGCCGGTCTGCAGCTGAGACGCGTGCGCAGGCTGAGACGCGTGCGCAGGCTGAGACGCGTGCGCAGCTGAGACGCGTGCGCAGGCTGAGACGCGTGCGCTCAGTTCAACGCTGCGTTCTCCACTGACCGTGCGACCTCTCTCCGACCTGACCTGAGCTCAGGGTTGCCTCCGTAATCAGAAATATCCATATCTATGCTCGGATTTTTTTCAGTCACACCACGTCAAAACTTTGCATTCCCTATATGACGCGCTGCAATATTAATGCAAGTCAACCGTAATCATGCGATATCTCACGGATGTCGTAGTCGCCACTACGGCAAAGCAAAAAAGACTTAACAGTCTCTGCTCAATCGTTGCCTTCTTGTTAACGGTGCGACCCATACGATTAAGATAGCCAGGTTGTGGGCAAGTATGGTAGCATCTAAAAAGAGTGTCTATTTACGCCACCGTCACTTTCCAGAAACGATGTTTGTGCCTCCCATCAGTCTTCTCCGCACCGAACGCTTAGGTCCACTGAGCGGGATTGCTGCTGAGCTCTTGTTTCTATGTCGTTACGGCTACGACATCCCGTATATTGCACGCGATGAGGAATCCAATTCCGACCAGTTCAATGGCAGGTCATTAAACGCAGGGCTCACATGAGCCCGCGGGCAGCCCAGCAGCGGCAGTGTAAATAGCTGGCACCCCGTGACCCCTGGAGACAGGCAATTCAGCGCACCCACCACTCCAACAATGAAGCCGACGGCACCATTCCACGTGCCTCACACACGTCACTCGCGGTCCCATACGTTTGTCACTTGTTCGCGACCGTTAAGGTCAGTGGCAGCCTGCTTACCGTCGAGGTCACAGCGTCGGCAGCGACGGTCCGACGCAGTCGGGCGGCCGTCGGGGGCAGTGCGGCTCCTTCGGCGGCCGCAGGCGGTCTGCGGGGGCCCGTGAGCCGTCAGCGCCTGGCATCGGTCCAGAACCGACGGCGGGGCGCGCAGGTCGCGGCGGACGACGGCCGCATCACAGAGAGATCTGTCGCTAGGCGCAAAACATCGTCTGTGTGGACCGGTGGACGGCGCCAGAGACGAGGGCTCTTGACGGAGACGAGGGCAGCTGGCAGAGACGAGGCGCGGGTGAATGGTGCCAACTATCAGGTGGGGAAGTAAAATACAGACGCCATATTGACAGATGGAGATAAGGGTCAGGTGCGGGCTACTTAATTACAAAAATCTCGACTTCGTCCGGTGAGGTGTCATTGAATGAAAATTACAGCGCATGCCATGACGAAAATAGCCTTTAGCAGCCCATGCTATGCACGATAGAAGCCCAGGACCGAAGTGGTGTGTTATGAACTGAAACCAGATAACGGAGTCGTTGTAAATAAACAGCGTGACATCGACTTCTGGTTCCTCGGCCGCTCCGTCGCCACGATGTTTCGTTGTCCTTTGACCCAAACCACAACATTCAGGCCAGCTGCGTGATTTGCCAAACCCGAGACGTTTTTACATTTTGTCGCTTTGTCGGCTGCCGCTTGGCTCGACGCTGATTGGCCTATCCTGATCGAGGGGATGAGCAACAGGCTGTACACCTGGAGCCGGGGCGCAATAGCATGGAGCGCACTTGACCTAGAGGCGAGAACTACTGATGAAGACGATAGCTTCTGTCACAGACGAGAGCTGCCATGATGCCTGTTTGATGCCTGCTTGTGCAATCAGTCGATAACTTTTACAACAAAACCTACGCCATACCACACCACCCTTTAAATGCTCACTTGATGATAGTTGTACAACAGAACAACAACAGTCCACAGAACACTTAATGCACTACTTCTTACCTCCAGTCAGCCTTTGCCTGTTGTTCGAGTTTTGATCGCAAGGCGTGATGCCACTCCTCTCACTTTTCTCTTCATGTACACCTCACTGTTCGAGCCCCTGCTGCAGTTTTACGCACATGCATTGAACAAGGCACTGGCCATCGTCTTGAGCATTTTGTCCAAGAAGCGGTAATCTGTTGCGCACGATAAGCCAGCTAGCCGGCCGTTCACCTTCCCAAGAATCACCAGAATCGTTTGGAAGACCTCCTGGAGTTTGGTGCAGCCAAACAAGGTGCGCCTGGTGACCGTATCCATGGTCAGCTACCTGCAAGTGTGGCACATGTCTTTGAAGAAGATGAGGGCTATGTGCAAGGAGTGTGCCGGGTCTCTACGGTTCAAAAAAAGATTTCGTGAAGGAATTCAGGATGCTATTAAGTCTTTGGCTGAGTCTCTCCGCCGCACTCCCTCCTCATCGAGCTTCTCCAAATGGACATCAGCCGGCTCTCGGGCACCCTGCTTTTGACGAGGAGGCCCCAGCACGGTCCACATGTGTGCCCTTTCAGAAGCGCGCGTGCCAAGTAACCGGGCAGGTGTTTGATGGTTGGTCTGCTCGGTACCCCGGTTCCTCACGTTCGGCGTGGAAAGCAGCCTCCAATAGTCATTCATGACTTTGGCATTGTCAAGCTGGCGCTGCTAATGTGTCTTGTCCATCTTGGCGTCCACCTTTCCCAGGTTAAAATCAGTCAAACTTAACTTATTGTCCTAATCACGACCTCCTCATCCACGAATAGGCCAACATTGGTCCCGTAGTCGCCGTCCACCAGCTTCCTGAGGCGTCCAAATTGCCCTCGATCTTGTCGATTGCGGGGTTACCTGCTGGGTTATGTCCTGCTGGCACATAATGCAGCAGGTTGCCGTAGGTGTACGGCAAGTATAAGCCAACCCAATAAGGCTTCTACATATGTAAATGGTCGCCTGTAAGGTTCTGTTGAAACCTTGCTGCCCGTCACCTTCCTTCTACAGTCACATGCGCATGATACGGTCAAACGTCTTATTATTAAACTGAAGTGGTCTAGGTCTTCCTTCTCTTCTTTGGTTGCTGGATTGAGGGCCGGGTCGTTCAGCCGAACGCAGAGGCTTTGATAGCCCTGCTGTTAGCCGTGATGGCCGTCGCGCAGGCCAAGACGCTGAGCATCTCTTTTGTGTTGCCGAAGCTGCCGACCCGGCCGTGACTCTGCAAACTCAACAAGCCTTAGGTCTGCAAGCCTCACAAGCAAGATCATTTTGAGCTGAGCACAGCTTATCTCACACTGGGTTTGGGGTAGACGAACCCGCAAAGTACACCAAACGACTGAGTGTTGTCCACTGCCCGGCAAAACCACCTGGCCCCTGGCGGCTGGAACGTGAACCAATAGTTCCCCACCAGGTGGCGAGCTATGCAAGCCTTGCGGCGGGGGGGGGGGGGGGCACTTCAAGGTAGCCACGTGCACCCTACTGGAAGTCAAGGGAAATATCCAGGCTTTCATGATGACGAACATGCCGTCAGACTGTTCCACCCTGATAATGATAACGCAAAATATGTTCTCGGGGGTGACAACAAAGCAGCATAACCAGAAGGCAGCCTTTCCATGGGCAGCTCGTTCCACATGTCGTTGATGGTGAAGACGTTCTTTGCCTTAAACATGACGTCGCCCAGTTCCTGAAGTGCAGGCCCCTGGTCTCACACCCGACCGATGGCATTGCTCTCGTCGCTGGCCGCTCGGTGACGTCATAAGCCCAGTCCGCTTGGACTTGGCAATGCTGAAAAAATGACCAGTGATTAGAAAAAACAACTTTTTGTGCGGTCATTGAAAGGAAAACGACCATCTGCTTGGTCCGTATGGAATAGTGCGCAATGGACATCTTCAGTCGAACCCGACGAATGCATCATGGGCTTACAAGGCAACGATTCGTTATTGGTTTACAAGAAAAACAAGCTCTATAAGTACACTGAGTGATTGGACATCGCCCAATGCCCAACAAAACCTCTCGGCCCTCGGCGACCTGACGGCAACCAGTAGTTGGCCACCAGGTGCATACGCCTTATATGCCCAATGAAGTGGAAGTGGTGGGTCTAGCATGTAGTTGTGTAGAAAAACGTAGAAAACATGAAGAAAAACGCTTTCTCAAGGGGCGAGCAAGTGCAATAATTTGTTCCAGCTGCTGCGAATTTGGACGGAATTCCTGCGAAATGTCTCAAAATATACCGTTAACATCTTGAGCTCGTGCTGGTGGGGGGGGGGGGGGGGGGGGGGGGGCTCCCTCGTCATTTTTCGCTGATCAGCCCCAACCTCCAGCACGATGCGTCCCTGCTCCTGTCCGCGAAGGTTTTAGTGGGTATTGCTGGGAGATTGTCGGGCTTCTGTGTACTTTAAAACTCAAAATATACAAAACCGGATGTTTTAAACAATTTTAGGGAAGTGACCATAAGGTTTTAAACACGTGCCCAGGTGGGCGGCTGAATACGGCTCGCTCGAGTGGGAGCCACGATGAACCCCCTGAGATCTACAAAAGTCAAGGGGCTAGATACACCAAATTCCCAGGCTGGGTAGGCTTGTATGAACACTCCTTTTAGCCAAAAGTTTTGCATTTATACGTCATGAACTTAGGGTCAAATACCGTCAAAAAGATCAACTTCCAGATTGGCGTCCCAAGTGCCACGAGATCAACTCATGCAACAGTCCTGAACCTACATTCGTACGTTCTAAGCGAAAGGTCAGTGGTATCGGTTCCAGCTCATTGACCTTGTTTGACCTTAGCAAATTCAAGGTGGCCATAACTTTCGAGATATTTTCGTTTTTGTTTTTGAGAGTGAACATCTGTCAAGGATTACGCTAGGCGGTACGTCCGTAAAAAGGCCGATCTGATTCATTTAAGGTCAGCGCCCTCCTCTGATCTTTAAGAAGTTCAAGGCATATGTCTGTTGCCAAGCCTCTTAAACATGAATTAGAAATGAACATCATAAACTACCCCATAAAGAGAGATATCAATCAAAAAGTTTGTATTGGTTTTGCTTTCGGTCTGGCCGTCATGCCTGACCAAATATCAATGAATTTTGTTGCAATCCTAAATGCATGTCACTTACAGTCCAAAAAGTATTTCGGAGACGAACGGCTTCGTCTAATACCCAGTTGCTGCATCAGATTTAATGATCTCCTAGGAATTGTCTTCGCTGACAGCCACAGCCTAGATTTGAACTGTCATAGGTCAGTATGGGCAAAGGCCAATATCATGTTTTAGTACCGACATATCTGCCATTTAATTGATTATTGCTATGTGATGTTTGATGTTGCTAGGACGCATCGTTCGAAAATAATTTGGGAACAACTTTCAGAGGGGGGGGGGGGCAACTTAACCCCCGTCACCAGAGCGCGCGTTAAACGACATGCCAAACCAGCCAAATAAAAGATACCAAATTGTGTTTCAGACGTGTTTATGTACTAATAAATTGTGATGCGTATCAAGAGCTCAGCGGCAACCAAGTAATAATTCGATTGCTTATCCCTCCTAGTGGCGCGGGGTTGTGAATTCGTGGAGTCCCTGTGCCCCTGGTCAGTAGCCAATTCTTATGGGCCCAAGGCACTTCAGCTTGTCATGTGCTGTCATATGCTTGTCTGTGATGTATCCAAGGCTGAAACCCGAAATGGAAATCCTAGGAGGTTCAAGTGGTAGAAACCAAACCCGGTGATTCTTATATTTTAATTTGTTCTGCTATGTTCTAATTTGAATTACATTAGCGTCAGCTTTGCATGCTTATCACGGATGTTCTATCTACGGTAGGTGACGGATGCCAGTAAATGATTCGCATGAATAACCATTAACATCACTTTTTTCATTCACCCCCATTTGGGTATTTTATCTTTTGAGTACCTGAATGTGCTCCTGCCAAGTATGCTATATATAATGTATCTATGCGGCCATGTAACTGGGCTTGCATTTTTGTTTTGTTCCTGAGTGGGTAACAACATACCGCAAACCCTCGGTTTCCCTCGGCTTCATGCAACTCGCGCGGCCTTTGAAGAAAAAC